CCTGCTGATGGGTTAAGATCCTTCTACGGCCCTGTTCAGCTCTCCTAGAGTAACTGCCTGGAATCTCCTCCATGCTCTTGAGACTGTGCTGGGAGACACAGCAAACCTTCTGACAGTGACACGTATTGATGTGTCATCCTGAAGAAGTTGGACTGCCTGTGCAACCTCTGTAGGGTCCAGGCATTGCCTCATGCCACCATTAATGACATTGACCCTAGCCAAATGTAAAACTAGTGAAAAATAGTCAGAAGAGATGAGTAGGGAAAAAAAAATGTCAGTGGCCTCCACCTGTAAAACCATTCCTGTTTTGGGGGTCATCTCATTGTTTCCCATCTAGTGCACCTGTTGTTAATTTCATTAACACCAAAGCAGATGAAACTGATTAACAACCCCCTCTGCTGCTTAACTGACCAGATCAATATCTCAGGAGTTTATTTGACTTGATGCTATACTCTAATTAAAAAGTGTTCCTTTAATTATTTTGAGCAGTGTACAATAGCAGATGTAGGGGTGTGGCTAAATGCTGATTTTGAATTTCTTTACTGTGCCAAATAATGGCATTTATGTTTCTTGTGGAGGTGTTGTGTAATAAGAATTAGTCATTATATGTATATTTCCCATATTTGTGGTTTACTGAATAAAAGCACAATGGTTTAGTGGTTAGCATTTCTGTCTTGCAGATCTAGGATCACCAGTTTGAATCCCAGACAGTTCTCTAACTGTACAGAGTCACTGGGCTTGCATCGGTCTCTTCTAAGTACAGTCTAACAGTTTACTTCCAGAAGACATGCTGGTAGGTTAATCAGCCCTAGATGTGAAGGTATGCATGTTTTGGTAGAAGTGTTGCCAACCGTCCATATAATTATGAACAGTTTGTGAAAAAGAGCCCACTTTTTCCTTTCCTATAGACAGGAGAAGTTTATATATTTAGGGGTGACTGGCTGCACCTGTCATGGCTCAGTGTGACTATTACATTTTCATATTGAACAGTCCCCCCCCTTCACACAAATGGGAGAGGAGAAAAGCTTTATCTGCTCTGCCTTCTCCTGCCCCTCTCCCCCTGTGTCCACTCACTCTCCATGCAGCCCGTGCTGTGCCTGTGAAGGAGTTGTGTGGGTGGGAAATTGTAAACAGCAGCCAGCAGCCACGTAGCCACTTGCTATGTTATTTTCTTAGTCCTAATGACCCCTAAACCAGAGGCATTGCTAATTCCCACTGGCCACAGTCTGCCCCCCAAAAGTCTGAAGGATAGTAAATGTGATTGAAATTGAATTTTCAGTGGTCACAGTCAGTCAGTTCACTTCCGCAGTTTAATGCAATTCTTAGGTTAGAGAAATTCAGGGACGCCGAAATTTGCATTATTTATTCAGTTGCATCCGAAAATATCAAATAGTTTTCATTTTTGAATAATGAATTCACCCGAACAGAATATCAAAACCAAAAAACTATTATATAGCAATCTTTCAAAAAAAACTGCAACATTTTTTTAATCCACCCAGACCAACAAATATACAAAAGGAATGTCGAAGATACGAAACAATTTTCGAAAAAGATCTGGTTCAACATAATGAATATGACAAAACAAAATTCTTCAATGAGCGAATGCATTAAAAAAAATGAACATTTCGGGAGTGCACATGTCTACAAGTTACTATCGTAAAGCTAGATAAAAATAAATATTAAGGCGCCAAGTGAGTAAATGTTGTGTATGATATGAAGCTGCCCCTAGTAGAGTGGATAACCACACTTATGCAAGCGAATAATTGTAAATAGACAGGCGCTACATATATAATGTGCATATACATATAAAAGGCTTGTTTTACAACATGCCCCTATACCAAACCATTAGATTTTATGTATTTCACCTATAGTGGGTGCCATAGTTTCCACTAACTTCACAAAAAAACATAAAAGACACATAATCAATATAAGTCCAAATGTGAATTAAAGTTTAGAAAAAAGGGTGATAGTCCTTTCTATTCCTTTATGCTGTGACCCAACAAAAAGAGTGACTTTATATCTTCACCACGTGCCGGCAAGGTATATATAAATTGCTCACGCACCAGATCTTTTGACCCCAATTAACCACTTCCATACAGGGCACTTTTACCCCCTTCCTGCCCAGGCCATTTTTCAGGTTTCAGCGCTCTCACACTTTGAATGACAATTGCGCGGTCATACAACACTGTACCCAAACTAAAATGTTATCATTTTCTTCACACAACTAGAGCTTTCTTTTCGTGGTATTTAATCACAACTAGGGTTTTTATTTTTTGCTAAATTAACAAAAAAAGACCGAAAATTTTGAAAAAAAAAAAACATGTTTTTCTTTGTTTCTGTTATAAAAGTTTGCAAATAAATAATTGATCTTCATAAATTTAGGCCAAGATGTATTCAGCTACATGTCTTTGGTAAAAATAATCCAAATTAGGATGTATTATTTAGTTTGTAGGAAAGTTATAGAGTTCACAAACTATGGGATATATCTGAAAATAGATCAATCCAGAAGTACATATATTACTTTGCTATAAGCAAGCATTTACCTGAATGACATCGATTCATTCAGGGGTTTTTTTGTGCTTAGCTGTGATTTGGCCACGGCTAATCACATGACACAGATGGGCTGTGATTGGCCCAGCTTGTGCATGTGATCGCTGTGACCATTCACAGCTAGACACACTTGTATACAATGGATGGCATGAAAGGAAGCCATCCATTGTATACAACTGTCATGAGACCTGCTGTGATTGGCCACAGCAGGTCACATGGTACTGGCAATGGGGCCGGTACACAGATCTGTCATCAGCCATGTCCGAGGTACACGGCCGGTGACAGACTGCGCCACAGAGCGGCCTTGTGGGCAGGCGCACTGCGCATGTCTGAAAGGATGCCCTATGGCGTCCACCTAGAGGGACGAGCTGTTTGCACGGACGCCATTTGTCTATAGGCCGGGAGGCAACTGGTTAAGGTGGTCAGATGTGCTTTGTAGTCATATAGGGGACCATCCTCTCAGGTTCTCCTAGAATGTTACTCCCCTCCAGCGGCTCTGCGGGCTAATCCTTAAGAAGATTTGGTGCCAAACCTTTCCCAACCTTCTAAAGCTTGGCCACCTTTAGAAGGTTGGGAGTGGTCTGGCACCAAATCTTCTTAAGGATTAGCCCACAACTGAACACCATAGATGAATCGGAGATTATGCTGGGAATCCCAATGCTTTAGCTTATGGCCATATTAATGGACAGCCGCTGGAGGGGAGTGACATTCTAGGAGAACCTGAGAGGATGATCCCCTATATGACTAAAAAGCGCATCTGACCATCTTAATTGGGGTCAAAAGGTCTGATGAGTGAGCAATATAGATATAACTTGCCAGAAGTCTTGCAGTGCAGCGGTGGGTCAGGCAAAGCAGCAGTCATTCTGTTGTATAGTCCTTCTTATTATCTTATGTATCTCAGAAATTGAGTCATTGTGGCTACTAGTTATTTTAGACATAATGTCCTGTCTTCATTGAATGTTATGCAGTCCCAGTGTAATGTACTTTACAATCTCATTGTTTGTTAAATAATAACTACTATGGATCTGCAAACTCAAATTTTAATTGTGCTATCTGGCTTAACCTTGTTCTTCAAGGACGTATACAACAAAGCATAAAAAAAAGAGAATATATGCAGTGGAAATGCTTTCACCAAGGCTGTAATATGTAAATGTCATTGTGATTATACCACTTATTGATGTTCTGTGAAGACTGTCTAAGACTTGCAAGTAAAAGATTAGAACTAAAAACAAGCAAGATAATGGAGTAGAGGCTTTTCTTCATTAATTAACTAGTCATGGAACAAATTACTATTTTACACATTTGAAAATATGGGTGCTTTTATGTATTTTTGTATTATAATACATTAGAGATGTCCTCAAAAAAAATTATTTTAGTTTCATTTCATATTCATTTATTAATTAAATAATTTAATTTCATCATAATTGTTATGCTAGCATGATTCAGTTTTGGAATTCATTTTGAATATTCAGGTTTACTTCGTATATTCGTTGTTCCAAATTGATTTGTATATGCAGCATTTTTTTCGGAAGATTGGCTGTACTTTTTAACGTGTTAATTCATTATTTCAGAAGATTACTTATGCGCTTATGCAGTCACCCCTGCTAGTCCAACCCACAAAGATAAGTTGAATGAGCTGATTGGACAATATTGACTGGAGTTGCATGCATCCAAAAGAAACAAATGGAACTAAATTACCGGATTTTTTGCTCCATAAGACGCACTTTTTTCCCCCCATAAAATGGGGGAATATATCTGTGCGTCTTATGGAGCGAATATGGAGCTGCTGGGCTGGTATTCCCCCTTTCACCGCCACCATGCTAGAATACCAGGCCGGCCACTTGGCTCTTCTTTGCAGCAGAACCTGCAGACCTCCTGCGGTCCTACCTGTTCCTCAGTCCAGAGGTGTCCTCACTGTCTTCTCTCACCAGCGCCGGCATCTTTAGTGTGGACACCTGGCTGTGACAGCTTGCAGCTTCACAGCCGGGTGCCCACTGCGCATGAGCGGGAAGCACTGCACTTTCTGAATGGCCCTGTAGTCTTCTGGGACACATCACATGTCCCAGAAGACTACGGGGAGGGAGGGGGAAGGACAACTCTGTGGAAGTGGGAGCGAGTACCTGTCAAATTCGGGTACGCGCTCCCCCACCCTCCGCTCCCCAAAGGTCCGCAGTCTCTGATCATCTGTACTATGTCCGCAGTCTGTGGTCATCTCCTGTACTATGGCTGCAGTCTCTGGTCATCTCCTGTACTGTGTCCGCAGTCTATGGTCATCTTCTGTACTATGTCCGCAGTTTCTGGTCATCTCCTGTACTGTGTCCGAAGTCTCTGGTCATCTCCTGTACTGTGTCCGCAGCCTCTGGTCATCTCCTGTACTATGTCCGCAGTCTCTGGTCATCTCCTGTACTGTGTCCGAAGTCTCTGGTCATCTCCTGTACTGTGTCCGCAGCCTCTGGTCATCTCCTGTACTATGTCCGCAGTCTCTGGTCATCTCCTGTACTGTGTCCGCAGTCTCTGGTCATCTCCTGTACTGTGTCCGCAGTCTCTGATCATCTCCTGTAATGTGTCCGCAGTCTCTGGCCATCTCCTGTACTGTGTCCGCAGTCTGTGGTCATCTCCTGTACTGTGTCTGGAGTCTCTGGCCATCTCCTGTACTGTGTCTGCAGTCTCTGGTCCTCTCCTGTACTGTGTCCGCAGTCTATGGTCATCTTCTGTACTATGTCCGCAGTTTCTGGTCATCTCCTGTACTGTGTCCGAAGTCTCTGGTCATCTCCTGTACTGTGTCCGCAGCCTCTGGTCATCTCCTGTACTATGTCCGCAGTCTCTGGTCATCTCCTGTACTGTGTCCGAAGTCTCTGGTCATCTCCTGTACTGTGTCCGCAGCCTCTGGTCATCTCCTGTACTATGTCCGCAGTCTCTGGTCATCTCCTGTACTGTGTCCGAAGTCTCTGGTCATCTCCTGTACTGTGTCCGCAGCCTCTGGTCATCTCCTGTACTATGTCCGCAGTCTCTGGTCATCTCCTGTACTGTGTCCGCAGTCTCTGGTCATCTCCTGTACTGTGTCCGCAGTCTCTGATCATCTCCTGTAATGTGTCCGCAGTCTCTGGCCATCTCCTGTACTGTGTCCGCAGTCTGTGGTCATCTCCTGTACTGTGTCTGGAGTCTCTGGCCATCTCCTGTACTGTGTCCACAGTCTGTGGTCATCTCCTGTATTGTGTTCGCAGTCTGTGGTCATCTCCTCTACTGTGTCCTCAGTCTCTGGTCATCTCCTGTACTATGCCTGCAGTCTCTGGCCATCTCCTGTACTGTGTCCGCAGTCTGTGGTCATCTCCTGTACTGTGTTCGCAGTCTGTGGTCATCTCCTCTACTGTGTCCTCAGTCTCTGGTCATCTCCTGTACTATGTCTGCAGTCTCTGGTCCTCTCCTGTACTGTGTCCGCAGTCTCTGGCCATCTCCTGTACTATGTCCGCAGTCTCTGGTCATTCCCTGTACTATGTCCGCAGTATCTGGTCATCTCCTGTACTGTGTCCGCAGTCTCTGGTCATCTCCTGTACTATGTTTGCAGTCTCTGGTCATCTTCTGTACTATGCCTGCAGTCCATTGGTTCAGAATATTTTTTTTCTTGTTTTCCTCCTCTAAAACCTAGGTGCGTCTTATGGTCAGGTGCGTGTTATGGAATGAAAAATACGGTAATTTCAGATTCATTTGTTGTGTTATCATTTGGAGATTCTGGAGGATCCACCTCCATCCAAACACACAAACACAATAAGTAGGAATCATCTTATTTCACTTTTACACCTTACTGTATTTATTGCATTATGTTCCTGTTTCATATGTAGTGCGTTTTTTATAATAATGAAAAATGATAATGCAAAAAGAATCAGCTGATTATTAAGAGTCAAAGACTACCATGCAGCTCTCATCTGAATAAAATGAATCAATTCGGATCATTCGTTATGTTATTTTGTTCTGTTGGATGCTTTAAACATTACCAAAAGGCCCAAACTATTACATCATGTCATCATATAATTTATTTTGGATCCGTTACTATTGTAATTCGGAGACTGGAATACATCCGAATCTCTAAAGAAAATTTAATCTGAATTTTGATTTGTAACAAAACAAATCGCACATATCTACAGTACATATTTATAAGTGTGTGTCTTTAAAACCAAACTGAAATATTCACCTGCCAGTTTTCTACTTGTTTCAAGTCAGTAGATCAGAAAATTGTTGCAATTACAAATGTTTAGGCATTCACGTGTTTATTTCTTTTGTTTTGTATTGGTATAAAACAAAAATGTGGGTAAACAAAAAGCTAAATCTGACACACTCCACGCAAAACCCCAAAAATAGACTGGACTAAATTATTAGTACCCTCAATTTAATATTTGGTAGTACACCCCTTGGAAAAAGTACCTGAAATCAGTGGCTTCCTGTAACCATTAATCAGTTTTCTTACACCTCTCTACTGGAATTTTGGACCAATCTTCTTTCACCAACTGGTCCAGGTCTCTCAGATTGGAAGGTTTCCTTTTCTGAACTGCAGTTTTGAGATCTCTCCACAGGTTCTCTATGTGATTGAGATCTGGACTCATTGCTGGCCATTTCAGTACTCTCCAGTGCTTTGTCTGAAACCATTTCTGGGTGCTTTTTAATGTGTGCTTTGGATCATTGTCCTGCTTTAAGACCCATGACCTCTGACAGAGACCCAACTTTATGACACTGGGCCCTACATTGCATCCCAGAATGCTTTGGTAGTCTTCAAATTTCATAATGCCATGCACACTGTCAAGACATCCAGTGTCTGAAGCAGCAAAGCAACTTCAAAACTTCAGTGAACCTCCGCAATGCTTGACTGTGGGGACTGTATTCTTTTTTAAAGGCCTCATTGCTTTTTCTGAAAACATTAGAATGATGGGTTTTACCAAAAAGCTATAATTTTGTTTTGTCTGTCCACAGCACATTCTCCTAAAAGGATTTTGGCTTCCTCAAGTAAGTTTTAACATACTCCAATCTGGCTTTTTTATGTTTCTGTGTCAGCAGTGTGGTCCTCCTGGGTCTCCCACCAGAGTCCCTTTTCATTCAAATGGTTGTACCCTGTGCCTGAAGGTCAGCTTGAATTTGTCTGGAAGTTGATCGAGGTTCTTTATCCACCATTTGATCAATCCTTCATTGCAATCTTTGATCAAGTTTTTCTCTTTCGACGCCGTCCAAGGAGATTGGCTATAGTGCCATGGGCTATAAACTTCTTGACAATGTTGTGCACAGTGGACACAGGAACATTAAGATCTGTTAACTGATACAGGTGATTTTAATTACAAATTACAGGAGCATCGCAAACTGGGAATGAAATTATTTCTTACAATTTTGAAAAGGTGACAATAATTTTGTCCAGTCTATTTTCAGGGTTTTGCGTGGAATGTGTCAGATTTGGCTTCTTGTTTCTCCACTTTTTTTGTGTCATAACATAACAAAAGAAATACACATGAGAATGCCTAAAGATTTGTAACTGTAACAATTTTCTTGACAAAGTGGTGCATTATCTGCCAGAAATGCAGGAGTGCCAATATTTTTGGCCAGGACTGTACCTCTCTTTAGTATAAGTATGTTTCTACAGCAGGCATTCCCACAGTAAGCCTGATTTCAGTTTTTGGTGGTCATGTAGTCATATGATAACTTAGTGTTAAGACAGTTTTCAGATAATTACTGCGGTTTCATAAAAAATAATGTGAACATAATTTGTACTAAAGGGTCCCTTTATTTGCTGGATGCTCATAATAACCACAACATACAATGCTAGCAATTCACTACAGCCCAGACAGAGAGTAATTCATTTTAAAACCAATAAAAACTAGTACTGAATATGTTGCTGCAAGCTACTGCAGTGCATAATATTGATCTTTTCTTTACAGTCAGCAATTCTCAATTTTGTATTGCTCTTGGACCGAAATAATGATAAAGATTTGGTTTACATAACAATTCTATTTGTAAACCCTAAGCCTGTGTTCTCAGACTGACATATTGGGGTTGATTTATGTAAGGCAAGTAGGCTGTTCACCAGAGTTGCCACCTTTTCTTCAAGCCAAACCTGAACTCTTTAGTGGCGCACCACAATTTTATTTTGTACCATACACTATAGGATTATAAAAGACCAGGGACACCAGCAAACAGTCCATGTGGTCAGATTGCATTAACAGTGGAAAAGGCTTAAAGGGACATTGTTAAATAAAACAGCATTTTCAGTAGGGCAGCGGATGGTGTCAGTAGGGCAGTAGACTATGTCAGTGGAGCAATGGGTTGTGTCAGTAGGGCAGTGTATGGTGTCAGTCAGTAGGGCAGTGGATTTTTTCAGTAGAGCAGTGGATGGTGTCAGTCAGTAGCGCAGCAGACGGTGTCATTAGAGCAGTGGACAGTGTCAATGGGACAGTGGATGGTGTCAGTAGAGCAGTGGCGACAGTGTTAGTATTTCAGAGGTTGGTGTCAGTAGGGCAGTGGATGGTGTCAATCAGTAGAGCGATGGACGGTGTCAGTAGGGCAGTGGACAGTGTCAGTAGGGCAGAGGTTAGTGTCAGTAGAACAGTGGACGGTATCAGTAGGACAGTGGACTTTGTCAGTAGAGCAATGGATAGGGTCAGTCAGTAGGGCAGTGGACTTTGCCAGTAGAGCAGTGGATGGTGTCAGTCAGTAGAGTAGCAAACAGTGTCAATAGGGCAATGGACGATGTCAGTAGGGCAGTGGATAGTGTCAGTCAATAGATTAGTGGACAATGTCAATAGGGCAAGGGACAGTATCAGTATAGCAGTGAACAATGTCAGTAGGGCAGAGGCTGGTGTCTGTAGCGCAGTGGTTGATGTTGGTATTTTTTATTTTTATCATATTATTTTTTTTAATTTTTTACAATTTTATTTTTTTGATTTGTTTTACAATTTACTATTTTTTAACAGCTCTGTTGGTGGACTTTGGTGAAATATCAGGGGTCTGAACAGACTGATGATGTTTAACTTTTGAGACAGAGAAAGGGACTTCAGTCAGCTGAAAACAGGTCACAGGAGTGCAGACTGAACTGCACCCCTTGATCCACAGGAGAAGTACAACCAAATAAGCTTTGGCTGCACATCTCCTTTATGTAAAACTGTATACAGTGAGACATAGGGGTTAATGTATTAAGCACAAACAGGCTGTTCACTTTGCAAGGGAATTTTCACTTTGAAATTGCATTTTCTCTTAGCTTAGTGAATGTGCCTTACTCATGGTAAAAAGCAGCTTTTCTCAACCAGGGTGCCCAGGCACCTTGGGGTGCCTTGAGGTTTCTTCAGGGATGCCTTGGCAAAATGTCTAAAAATTGCCCAAAAGGTGTAAACAAGCCAGCGGGTGGAATAAGCCTGTCTTTTAGTTACACAAAGCTACAAGTTTTCATTGTGCGCCATCACAACCTTCTAGCCCCCGGCATCCTGGCAACTAATGACATCAGTTGATAAGAAGCAGGTCAGCTGCCTGCACAGCATCCTAGTTTGACCCTCCCCTGCCCTCTCCATCAGTATTGGGGTCACATTAGCTGAGTGATGAAGAAAAACTGAGGGAGAGAAGAAACACTGGAATACTACTTATTGTGCAAAAGTGCATTTGCTGTGGAAGAATAAATCACCTCTAATGTTGGGTGTCCTACATTTGTGGATGTTGCTGCGTTCTATAAAAGTATTAGAATAGTTTTTCACATTTTAGAATGGGGTGCCTTAAGATTGTACATAATTTTAAACGGCGCCTCGGGACTGTCCATAATTTTAAAGGGTGCTTTGATGAAAAAAGGTTGAGAAACACTGGTCTAAAGCTCCCAAAGTCAATCCGAAAACTCTGGGCTCATATTACAGGGTCACCTGACAATGTTACCTGAGGAGGTCATCCGTCACCCCCAGCAGGGTGACTGTTCTTCAGGGCTGCTGTTAAAAAGCCCCAAACAGCCAACTTGACAACGCCCCCCCCCCCCACCCAAAAAAAATACAGTTTATTATGCTTCAGTTATGAATAAATACAGTGACTGATCAGCACTGATCTCTCATTGTGTTCAGGAAAGGAAGGGGCTGGAAAATACAACATATTTA